GGAGTCATATGATTTTGTTGCTTCTTTCAGTACAGTCTGAGTGTGAAATGACAGTGTCAGTTACGCTCCTCCAGAGCATTAGTCGGAATGCTTTTTTTGCCACTGACTCTGGAAAGCCTGGGAAGAGTTGTATGTTGGAGGTGGGGACTGGCTGTGATTCTCAAGTGTCAATAAAGTTTTCAAATGTACTTCCACTGCAACATACGTATTTTGTCTCTCCGTATTTACTTAAGCAATCATCTCACTTCTGTTGACAGATTCATCCTTAAAAAGAAAAAGTCTTATTTTCAGTGCAGAATACAGCCAGGAGAAGAGTATCCATTCCATATGATGTGTTGGCAGTTTACTAACTAAACCATAAATGGATGTCACAGTTTTGATTTTGCGGCTTTTTTTTTTTTTTTTTTTTTTTTTTTTTTTAATCCCCTCCCATGTAAAATCAATTAGTTTTCAGAAAAACTTCCTTGGAACACTTTTCTAATTTTTGAAGTGTTTAGGATGGGTAGTTTTTAATCAAGGTGGTCTAGGAAAATCTTTTACTCAAAAATTAATACCTGAATATTTCTAATTATCAATGTAATCATTTCATGCTATAGTTTGCATTAAAAAATGAAGCTATTATATTTTGTGATAGAATTAACATTTTGATTATACCAAAGCAATTATATTGTTGTATAGGTGATTATTAAAATACAACTTTGGTCTTTTGTTTATCTGCATGCTGCAGTGACGTCCTTCTCATCTGCAGCATGTTAGAGATAGCACAATGGACATATTATCAAAAAGAGATTTCTAGCCAGTAAAACATTATTCTTGCATTCTCATTATTCTGTGTCTAATATTGTGTTAAATTAGAACCTGCTGCAGTAGATGGGCAATTTTCGTCCATTTTGCTTGTTAGTGAGACTGGGATTTTTATCCTCAGGAGGTCTTCAAGGAGAGGATTGGTTATGCACACATGTATGAGGTACTAAAATCACTGGGTCAACCCTCACGGGAATTGCTGGAAGAACTCATGAATATGGTGAGATGTGCTTGCTTTGAATGCTGAAATGCTTACATCTTTTCAACAGTACTTCTAGCCCTATTTTATTGTATTTCACGTCTGAGCTCTCTGCTGTTTTTCAGGCTGTTGAAGGTGACCACATGGCTGTTGGGATACTAGGCATTAGTAATGTCCAGCCCCTATTGCTGCTTATCCAGTGGCTTCCAGAACTAGAATCACATGACCTGCAGATTTTCATCTCATCTTGGTTGAGGCAAATCTGCTGTATTAACAGACAGAGTCGTGCCACATGTGTCAATGCGAACATGGTCATCTGTATCATTGAGACACTAAATTCCCACTCCGTGCTCCATTGTACTTGTGCAGAGAACCTGATTGCCCTTCTGGGCTCTTTGGGGAGCCAGTCAATGGGCTCAGAAGAACTGCTTCAACTAATACAGCTCCTGAGGACTGAGGAACCAAAACGAGCTCACCCATACGTTGTTCCAGTGATGCGAGCCATTCTAGCAATGGCCCGGAAGCAGGGCATAGCTAGTGCCTTGCAGTATTTCAACTTGTACCACAGCATGGCTGGAATTGCTGTTCCATCAATTCATAAGTGGCCAGGCTCTGCATTTTCTTTCAACGCTTGGCTCTGCCTTGACCAGGACCGGGTGGACCCTAGCACGACTAGCAAAACTGGCAAGAGGAAGCAACTCTATAGGTATAGTTAATATAACTACTTCAACAGCACAAATCTAGGTCATCTGTTCCCTGTGACATATGGTACCCTATGACATGGTACTTCTGTTTATCTTCATAGAATATAGAATGCAATATATAGTGCTTAGTTTGTGAAAGGTAGCTGTTTCATCTGTCACCAGAGCCAGGCCCTGCTACAGAAATAAGCGTGTAGTTTCTCAGTTATAATGCTTTCTTGTCTACGGTTTCAATATCCGTAACTCCAAATTGTGTTAAGGTTCATAGCTTAAACAAAACAACACACAAAAAAAAACACCTCAAAATAGAACAGTCTTCCCACTGTTTCCTGTAAAAGTAATGAAATCTGGTTTCTATATGAGAACATAAAGAAAAGGACACATTCATTTGCTTAAATAGTAGACATTGACATGGATGGTTCTTGATATAATTTAACTTTCTGTGTACTAATATTCAGCAGCAAACAAAATGCAGAATGGGGAATGCTAGTTGAAGAATCTCTCGTTCCCTTCCGTCCACTTTACTGTTTACTGCAGCGCAGTTTCAGGGGAAATGCTGAAGAATGCAATTCTAGTTGTAACGGAATTAGTATTTTCCAAACTGTCTTAGAGTGTTGTTTCTGTTTATTAATAACCATGGTGGCAGGGGGACACCCCTTGGATATCTGTGGCTGCCCTGTGTTTTTGTATAGCACAGTCCTGATGAAAGGTGCCACCTGATGAACTACCACAACACTGTTTCCAGTGTTCATCAGTGTGTCCCGCTAAAGATCTTAAGTAGACTGTAGTTCTGGAAGACTGGGGTGGAATTGCACTACAAAGTAAAAAAGCTGTAGTTGGATTTCAATGTGATGCTCTTATACCAATAACTGACTGGTTTTCTATCATTTTATGTACAGTTTTGAAGATACTATTCTAGTTTTGGGATGCTAAAACAACAGTGTATTGAAATTAATACAAAAAAGAGATGTTTAAAATTCCAGTTTCAGCTTGAAATGTTAAGCACACAACTGAATTAAAATAATTAAAAATTGATCTAGCTGCTATGTTTTACAGTGTTTACTTGTAAGACAGGTTATGTCTGTTGAGATTGTCTATCATATTCATGCTCTGTGTATTTTTGTTTTATTTTGATAGATGCAGATATTTGATAGTACAGTAGTTAATGCATCCACTTGGAATAATGGTGCCTAAGGGTGTATAGCAGGTTTTGATAGCAGTTCACAAATTATATATAATTTTTTGTATTTAAGTGCTTAAATAATGAAAGGTTTCTCAAGGCAAACCTGTGCTTGCGGGTCTTATTTATAGATAGTTGCTTACAGCTGATTTTCCTCATTATACAAGTGAAATAATGCAGATTTGTCTATAAAGATCAAACTTTCTGCATTTTCTAGAAGAGTTATTCCATGTGCTGTTTTGGTCTTTAAAAGAAATTAAATCTCTGTATACAATGCTATGATGTGAAACAAGGGAAATGGAGAAAACATATCTACTACCTGTAACAGTAATGTCACGAATCTGCATGCAATATCGACAGCTTTACCAGAGGCTTACGGACACAATTTAATTAATAGAAAACAGCACAGGGTGCAGGCCAGTCTCTTCTTCATTACAGTATTGTAGCTTCCAGAGACTACAGTGGGCAGGACTTTGCAACAGAACCAGCTTAAGTTGTGTGGGTCAAACTGAAGTATTACTTGTTGGGACCAAGGTTATGTTTTCATGTAAAACATGGATGGCTACAAGCTGCTTTGAGAGCTTGGGTAGGAAGGCTCTACAGAGGGATCTGGACAGGCTGTATTGATGGGCCGAGACCAACCATATGAGATTCAACAGGACTAAGTGTTGAGTCCTGCACTTGGGTCACAACAACCCAATGCAACACTATAGGCTTGGGGAAGAGTGGCTGGAAAGCTGCCCGGCAGAAAAGGACCTGGGGGTGTTGGTAGACAGCTGGCTGAACATGAGCCAGCAGTGTGCCCAGGTGGCCAAGAAGGCCAACAGCATCCTGGCTTGTGTCAGGAATAGTGTGGCCAGCATGACTAGGGAAGTGATCGTCCCCCTGTACTCAGCACTGGTGAGGCTGCACCTGGAATACTGTGTCCAGTTTTGGGCCCCTCAATACAAGAAAGATATTGAGGTGCTGGAGCATGTCCAAAGAAGGGCAACGAAGCTGGCGAAGGGTCTAGAGCACAAGTCTTATGAGCAGCAGCTGAGGGAACTGGGGTTGTTTAGCCTGGAGAAGAGGAGGCTGAGGGGAGACCTTACTGCTCTCTACAACTACCTGAAAGGAGGTTGTAGTGAGATAGGTGTTGGTCTCTTCTCCCAAGTAGTTAGTGACAGGACGAGAGGAAATGGGCTCAAGCTGCGCCAGGGGAGGTTTAGATTGGAAATTAGGAAAAATTTCTTCACGGAAAGGGTGGTCAAGCATTGGAACAGGCTGCCCAGGGAAGTGGCTGAGTCACCATCCCTGGAGGTATTTGAGACATGTAGATGTGGCACTTAAGGACATGTTTTAGTGGTGGACTTGGCAGTGTTAGGTTTACAGTTGGACTCAAAGAATCATAGAATCGTTTAGGTTGGAAAGGACCTTTAAGATCATCAAGTCCAACTATTAACCTAAATGATTCTTTCTGGATCGCCTTTTGGCCTGCACGTCCTGGGCCTTGGGGTCCCTTCCTTGAGGCATTTCTTCATCCTCTCTGTGTTTTGTTTTGGTGGTGTTGTGGGTTTTTTTGGGTTTTTTTGGTTTGGGGTTTTTTTTCACAAGAGTAATACCTAGTCAAATAGTAAATATTGGAGCAGTGACAAATGGCTTAAGTTGGTTCTCTACTTAATGAGTGTACTATTAGGTGATTTCCAATAGTTTTGATGAATTCATGATTGTGTGTTTTGTCTCTTTCTGTAGCTTTTTTACAGGAAGTGGTATGGGTTTTGAAGCATTTATTACATGCTCTGGGGTACTGGTGGTTGCAGTTTGCACGAAGAGGGAATATGCAACAGTGACGCTGCCAGACCATTGTTTTTTTGACTCTCTCTGGGTAAGACTTGATACTGAAAAACACTGTGTTTAGGATAGTACTGTTAGCTCAGAAGCCAAAGTTCATTTTTCTGGGTGTTTTACAGATGGTTTAGTTTATCTATTTAAATAAATCATTGCATAAGAACAGATCTAATCTCAAATAATGCAAGCAATTTCCATGTAGATAAGTGGTTGATTGAACTAAATTATGCTTATGTTTTTAGGCATTTGTTATGGATAAGCTGGTTACAGCATTGTGCTTAGATTTTTTTTTTTAACATGCAGATTTTTTTAATATTAAATTATTAACAAGCATAGGTGGCTGTGGTGCTATGTGAATGAATAAAACGTGCTACTGTGTTTCTGCCTTGCCCTTTTCTATTCCCACACTTAAGGACTGATGTGCACTATCATGAAAAAGCTGTATCTCACAAAAACCTGTTTACATGTAAACTACTTTAAAATGGGAGCAGCTGATAGGTGGTCTTAACTTCTTGTTGACGCCTTGGATTTATTTTCTTAAGTGGTTTCCTCACCAGACTAATAGAGATGAAGTTAAATGCTTCCATACAGTTATTTCACTGCTTTTCAATAATGACTTAATTATTGCTTAACCAGCACAACATAACTATTGTTCACATGCCTGGAAAGAGGCCCTTTGGTCAGAGCCTTGTGTACATCTACGTCAATGGACAGCAGAAGGTCTCTGCCCCACTTCGATTCCCTGCCATGAATGAAGTAAGTTCACCTTCTGAGTCATACTCCTGTCCTGATGAGCTCTCATAGAACTATGAGAACACAGTTGGCTTTTTTAATTTGGCAATTGTGTAAGAGTTTAAGATAGCTTGGCCTATTGCTAATAAGCTTCTGTTTAACTTTGGACAGTGTCCAGAGTATCCATTTGGAGTATAACTAACCATTAATGAGTGTTTAGTCGTCTCAGTTTAAAAACAAAACAAAAAAACAGATTACCTTGATTAGACTGTGGGGGTTTCCCCAGCATAATTACCTGAACATATTGATATGATTTATAATGAGTAAATCATAGGAAATCACACCTCTGCCAGTAGGATTGGTGTGACAGTACTCAATGAGGAATATTCCCTGATGTTTTTGAGCAGTAACTTTTTTTACTTGTCTTTTCTGTATGCTCCCTTAATGTGCTAATCTTATACCTGCTTTGCTAGCTGGATAAGGAGTTTACATGCAGCTAATCCAACCATTTCGAATGTGTGCACATTTAGCCTAAAGAAACACACTAGCCATCAAAATGAGCATATGTCATGTGTAGTTTTCTTTGTAAGCATTGTTCATTCTTTTTGTGGAACAAATCCAATTTAAACTGGGCTACAACACTGAACATTCTTCTTTTGTAAGTCCTAATTTGATATTTGTTAAATATGTTGAGCAAACACTTAAATTGGACACAGTCATAGTAAAATCAGTGTAACACTTAAAAAATGAGATTAAATGTAATTTCCATTGTGAGATAAAACTCTGGATTAAAACTCTGAATAAGCTCTATAAACATCAGGGTAGCTAAAAGTAGGGCAGGTAAGCTTCCCATGAGAGCATCTATTTGAGTGGAATAACTGATACAAGAAATGTACAGTAGGAGATACGCTGGGCTAGTATTTTGGAACATAATCCAGAAGAGGAATGTTTACCAGGGTATCTGGAGCACCATCCTTCCTGGCTTTGTTCCTGCCAGAGGTCAAACTACAGTTGAGGTGACCAAATTGCTCTTAATTGGAAAAAAGTGGCCTACTGTGCTGGATTGCTTCTTTTCCAGGCCATGCCCGAACTTGTTGCTCTTGCTTTAATTTATTTAGTTCAGGTTTGTCACAGATAGTCTTCAGATTTACTTTGTAAACTGTGAAAAAAGGAGAGTGGGTTTACAGTATGTGTTTTATTTTCTTTCTTCCATGTGTGACTCTCCAGTCTTTTACTTCTTGCTGCATTGGTTCAGCTGGTCAAAGAACAACAACTCCTCCTCCATCTCAGATACCAGATCCACCTTTTTCCTCCCCTATTATGCCCCATCGGACATCACTTGGGGGCATTCTCTCTACAGGAAGTTGGGGTGGGATGCTTGGAAAACCAGAGCTCATCACGAAGGTGATTTCAGCAGGGACTCAGGACAGTGAATGGGGATGTCCAACATCTTTGGAAGGCCAACTTGGATCAGTTATCATCTTTCATGAAGCACTGCAACCTCCTCAGGTGAAAGCATTATATTTAGCAGGTGAGTGGTGATTGTACTGGTTTTAGTGGAATAGAAGGGATGAGTTATGGACAAGACCCCACTGAGCTTTGCTCTACACAGACACATAATGAAGAAGTTACAATCCAGAAGAATTGAAGAGCTGACCTAAGTGAGAGGGACTTAGAACAAATAAGCTTAGAATGGGATGATAAGTATTTTATGAAGTTTTATTTAAAATGTTATGTTTGCATAAGCTCATCTATTTATGATATGTACAGACCTGCCAAAATCAAAATGTTAGGTAGTATTTTCACTTGTAAGTTCTTAATTTTTGCTACTGTTTGCCTACATCTGAGTTTACAGTTGAGATTCTTCAAAGTGTTGCCTTTGTTTTGATAGGCCACTTAAAGGCGATTTATGATTGAGGATTTTTCCACAAGAATCAATTAATAATTCAGGGGTCATTTAAAAAATATAGATATTCTGATAAGTTATGTATTATAGTTCAAGGTGTTAAGATATTAAGTTCCATAATGACTTGAGGTTGTTAGAGATGAGCATAAAAACACTTCCATCACTTAAAGGAAATAATTTTGTTTAGTAATATAAAATATCTTGAAGATTATTAATTTTCTGGACATTTGGGCTTGATGACAGAGATTGATGACAAATATGGGATAGGTATTTGTAAAGACAGAAACATTAGAGCTGTTTGAATGTATATTAAAAAAAAACAACCCTTCTTTGTATAGTTTAGCTTTTTATCAAGAATGTATTTCTTTTTAAGCAGACCCTATGGAATGAATTATTTAAGTCATAGAGATTACTTCAAAGCATGTCTCAAGTAGGTATGGTTCAGAGTGTCCTATTTGTTGTTGCAACAAAGTATAGTAGTATAAAATTTGTGAAGGTCAACATCAATATCCAGTGGAATCTTAAATATGTATGTTATATAATTTTTTTTTTTGATAGGTCCAAACTGTTTAACTCCATGGAAGTCTCAAGAGGCTGAAGTAGCAGATCTCCCCAGTAAGGTGCTGCTTCATTATACACCAAAGGTATGAAACGATACTTAATTTCTCTTTGACTACAGAGTGTGCAGTAATTTCAGAATATGTTCTAGATGGTCTTTTTTTTTTGCTTTGCTGTTGCTGTTTCATGGAACAGGTGAGCGTGCCCTCTTTACGCTGTGGTTATTACAGGAAGATTAAAAGCAGTGAGAGCTTTCTTAAACTGTAGTCTTGTGCAGAGATAGTAGGTTTTGTTCTTGTTTGGCAAAAGGACAGAATTATCTTGTACAATTGTAAATGTCAAATCTAAGATAACATATATGATGTTCCAGGGGTTCGAAATTGTTTAAATACTTTAATATCAACACGATGGTGCTAACTTCCTGAAACATATTTTGCATCATTCAGAAATCTTAAGTGTTCAAGGATCTGTAACTTGTTTCCTGAATGGTATCATAGCCTCTTCATTTGTTTAACAGGCCTGCAGAAACCCAATTTGTCTTGACCTGTCTGCAAATCTTTTACATGGAAGACTAACTGGAAACAAAGTAGTGAACTGGGACATCAAGGTAAATGCATACTGAAGAAGCAGAACCTGATGTAAATATGACAGTGGTTGTATATGTTCACTTAAGTTTTGGAGTGCTGGAAGTTAGTATCATAATGCAAATGATATTTAGCAGATACAGCATGTTTTTGTAATGAGAATTAATGGGTTGATGCTGTAGCTGGTGTAGTATTACACTTGTTGAGAAATTACAAGGGCTACTGGTCTTAATGTCATAGATAATGCATTAAGATATTTTGTGGTAGCTGACTACTCTTCATAATCTGTTCAATGTGTGTTGTGTATTGAAAGCATTTTATCATCTCTAGCGGTTTCTATCATGGTTTTCTTGCAGTCTTGAACTCTGAATTAGGTTAAGATTAGTAGGGTTAAGTTAACACTTGTGACTTGCTGTGTTAGTCATATAAAAAAATATTATTGATTTGCAGACTAACTTCAGCAGAAAACAAGGTCTGGAGTTAAAATATTACAAGAATCCAGAATTTTTTTTAAGAGAGAAGTTAATTTAGTTATCTTATTTACTTTTGGTTTGGGGTTGGCAGGAGTAGATGATCTCACAGTCCAAAAGCCTCACTTGAGAGAAAACACCAAAAATTCAAAGTGTTATACCTTATTCTGTCTCTGCTATACACTAATTGTCCAATATTCTTTTCCTTATTGTTGGATACATTGGGATATCTCATCCTTACAGGCTATGCAAATCACCTTTGTTTAAATTTTGCTAGCAATTGTAATCACAGCACTACTACTATATTAGTATTGGAGCTTAAAATGTAACATTTTCTGGCTAAACCTGTTTCTAGTCTCCTGCTCAAACATTCTGTTGTAGCCAAACTGTCCTGTATTTTGGCTTTGGGTTTTTGTTTTGTTTTCTTAACCAACACATAGGGTCCTTATGTCCTTCTGGTTAATCAGTTAATTTCTTAGTCTTGTGCCACTGACAGTTCAGATCTGACTTTGTGCTATAGAATTAAAACACAATTTTGTCAACTCAACACTGCCAATGAGATTTAGTATTAGTCATTTAGACTTTCTTGGTGCTCCACAAACATTATCATTTAGGCAAGTTACATGTCCATTAGATGTCTTTCGTGTAAAATAGTAAATGGTCTTCTACTTGCTAGTTCATGGAGAGGAGGAGGAAACCATGAAATGCACGCCAGCTTAATAAATACCTTTGTGTACCTGTTTGTGTATTTGTTCCCCGATCACTAACACATATGAATATCAAAAATCAAAGTCAGACATAGCTCTGTGCATGAGGAAATCAAGTTATTTGCAGCATCAGAGTTTGATCCAGAAACAGTGACATAAATAAGGATTTATTTCTTTTAAATTTAGATAGAATACATGCAATTCTGTTTTATAGGCAGAATCTTTGATTAAGGGCTCTTAGCTTTGAGAAAAAATAAAATCCAAAGTCTGAGTGTAGAAAACTTGTCAGCAGAATACCACATCTTTTTTTTTTTTTTTTTTTGTCTTGAGGACAAATGTACAAACAAATAAATATGAACTGCTTTATTTTTAAGAACAGTGAATGATCAACTGTACTAGCAAACTAATTAATAAGGAAATATTGTTGGAGCTACATTGTGCGTACGCTGACTTGTGGAGATTAATGTTAAGAAAATTCGGACGCTTGCTAGTTAATTTTGCTACAATATGAATAGTTTGAAAATACTGCAATTTGTTCTCTTCACCCAATAGTGGGAAGAGGGGTGGGTGAGGAGTGTTTACATCTCTAGCTTTATGGGAAAGCGTATTGTGAGTACAAGTGTTAGGAAAGTCATTCATTAACAAACATGATGGGGTTTAGCACCCCCTTGAGGAGGACTAGAGTGAGGAAAAAACACAAGAGCTGATCAGGAGCTCATGAGGAGGCAAGTACAGACTAGAAGGAGCTACAGTTACTGCTGTCTTGTGGTTCAGATAAATTCTGTTTTTCAAGTTGATTTCTGTTCCCAAAAGCTGCGGTCTGTGGTGCCTCTTGTTTTGCTCAACAAACATAGAAATCTTCATCCACGAGATAAACTTTGTAAATTTAAAAAAACTCTCTTAATTTAACTGTTCAATTTTGTTAAATTCACCTTAATAAATGTGGGCTGAAGAGGGGACATCATAAAGACACAAGGAGCAGTGTAACAATTGAAAAAGTGGAAAACGATGGAGAAGAAACAGATGATTTTCTCCACTTCTTCCCAACATTTCTGTCTGGGAAGGGAGAGTGATATCCCACGTTAATAGACTGGCTTACAGGATGTTGGGGTTTTTGGCTGTTAAAATTTTACTACGCAATAGTTTTCACGGGACTAAGCTGGGCAATTGAATAGGTGTCTCTGGCTAGCTTGCTGAGACCCTGATTTTCTAAGTGGCATTGTGAATCACTTCTAGAAATCTTGTGATTTGAGTATGTTATACCTTACCACAAGAAGCATTGTTTGAAGTCTCGTGCTATCCCTGCTTGTGAGGAGGGGTGGAAAAAGGGGGCTTAGGAGACTTGAATTTTAAAAAGAGGCTTAGAGATGAGGTATGTGTAAAGTTACTTTTAAAAAAGAAAATAAAATTTTACTATTTTTTTAACTGTCTGAAATTGAAATCTTGCAGGAATATGATTAAAGCACAGGTGTGTATAATCTTTTCTTACTGCTTGCTGCAAGTAACTTAGAAAAATATTTTTTTCCTGTGTTTCAAATATATTTAGCAGAATATTCTTTCTAAGACTTGTGTCCTTCAATCTTCTGTGTTTATGAGGGGAGGAGGAAGGAAATATAAAAATGCACTTTCAAAACAGGAGCTGACAGAAAGGCATGTGTGTTATTGCAGTGTCTAAAACTTGGGCAGCTCTTTTAAGCACAGTGTTTTAAACTAGTTTAAAAGTGGCATGTGAAACATTCTGGTTGATTTGTGAGTATGTAAGGTGCCTTGTATTTGGAATAAATTTCTGTTACGTACTTTAGGGGATTTTATGGTGATGTTTTTCCTCCTTTTTTCTCTTGATTTAGGATATGATCAACTGTATTGGTGGAGTAAATGTGCTGTTTCCATTGCTAGAGCAGATCAGTGTTCTTGGTGGACAGATACCTGAGAAGTCTGAAGGGGAAACTCTACCTCCAGAACTAGTTACTCCTGTAGAGGGAGACTGGGTGGTATTGTCATCCACAAAGGCATCAGGTAGGAAAGTACAGTTGAACTGAAATAATTTTTAAGCTTGATTTTGAAAGTCTTCCTATAAATGACAGAAAGCTGTTTTATTATGTGCTGGCTTTTCCAGAGTACCTGTGTAAAGCTGAAAGGTTCTTTCTGTTCTTAGATATCTGATGTGGGTACAGAATACCAGTTCAGCACTATGTAAAATTAACTTACTAACATATTTCAAATATAGTTATATTTAATAGCATTATTTTTCTTTTCATGATTTACCATCACATTAGTGTAAAAGTATGCAGTTTTTAAATTTCTGTTCTGAAAAATTTGTTCTGATTATTTTGAAAAATTATGTTTGATGCAAAGCCTACTAATATCAATAGGAGGAGCTTTCCTACAACTTGAGTGCTGGGTCAGACAGCCACATGAAGACTTTGCAGCATCAGAATGGTACTGTTTAGCCTTTAGCCAAACTTAGGAAAATGTTCAGACTCCTACCTCTTCCACACACAGTCGGATTTTAGTATTAAAATTTAAAAAAAAAAAAAAGGAAGGAAGCTTTAAGAATAAATTTTTAAAAGCTGTGCTAATGTTGAGAATGAACTTTGATCTTAACAGAAACCACTGGGAAATCAGACCTTGCAAGGGAAAACAGTATTTTTTGTTTCAAATACGAAATGCTGGAGTAAAGTAAAAATATATATATTTTTCTCTCTGTTTCTTAATTTTTTGCATATTGTGTCTAGAAAGTGTCAGTTTGCAGCTGTAGAGGGAGAATAACTGCAGCATATATAAAAGATTGTAACTGAAAGAGAAGTTTTTCTGTAACCTACAGCCAGATGGATGAAGCAACTGAAGTCAGGACTGGGGTCAGTTTGTTCTGGAGAGGCATGGAATGGCTGTGACTCTGCACTGGAAAAATCTAAAGAGAGCAAACAGAAGAAGAGTTGAGAAGTTCAGGAAATACTGAGGAATATGAACACTTGAATTTACTTCTTCCCCTCTACTTATATGCAGCGGTTCAACAATAAACCATGAGGCTTTCGCTACTTTTTTTCTGTTTTGCAGAAGCACGCCTGGAGAAGAACATTGTTGCAACTTTCATCTTGATGATAAAACACTTTATTCAGAGACACCATGTTAATCAAGAAAATCTCATTCACTCCCATGGAGTTGCCACCCTAGGAGCCTTGTTACAGAAGGTGAGCAAATTTGAGAAACATCCTTTAGTAATGAATGTTATGGATGGGGGCCTGATTACTTTGAAACATTCTTAGTTTGGCCGTGATGTGAGGGTCTTCAGAGGTCTACTTAGTACATGCTTTTCTTTCTCATGTTTCTGAAAACAAAAAGGTGTGAGGAGTTGGTCTTGATCTGCAAAGTGAAACACGATGTTTTGTCTTTTTCCATGTTCTGCTTTTTTTGTTATAGGTACTGTGTTGTATGATTCATCAAACTAGACTGGTTTTGTGTTTCTTGTATTGCTTTACTGGAAGCAGACATTGCTGTAGAAGATAAAAGAATCTCAAAATTCAATTTTAAAAATAATGTAGTTTATTAGGATATTCAATATTTTGAGTGCTAACACCTGTTGTTATTTTGAAAGGTGCCAAGCAACTTAATGGATGTGAATGTACTGATGGCTGTGCAGTTGTTGATAGAACAAGTCTCAGTAGAAAAGAACTTGCAGCTTTTGCAACAGATGTATCAACACTTACTTTTTGACTTCAGTATCTGGAACAGTGGGGACTTCCCCTTCAGAATTGGTGAGCTCTTGGACTTGGGCAACTGCGTAAAGACACAGTACTGTTCACTTGATGTAAATCTTTATCTAGGTTCTAATAGAAAACTTTACGTTGTAGGACATATACAATATCTTTCTACAATCGTCAAGGACAGCAGAAGACTCTTCAGAAAGAAATACGGTGTACAGTTTCTTCTAGACACACTCAGGATTTATTATGGGTATGAGTTTTACCTCTTCTGACTCCTCCTCATTTATTGTTATGTGGCTGCTGGGTTTTTCCCCCCATCATCCTAGTGAGAAAATTAATAAATAAAACTGCAGGTTGGCTTTTGGTGGTTGATTTACTTTTCAAAATTGCTTTTTTTTTTCCCATTTGACTTGCTACTTTTCCTTGACTTTAATTTTTATGATAGTATTATATAAAATTTATGTGAATGATACTAGAAATGCTTGGAAAAGTCATTAAAATTACAAAATTGAAGAACTTGTCAACAATACAAATTAAGTCATGGGTCATGACCATTATGAAGCGAGAGAGTATTTATCATTTTAAGCTGTTTTGTTCTTTTATATCCTTGTAGAATTTGAGGTGGGACTTTTCTAGGAATTTAGAATTTTAGCCTTCAGTCTTGGTGATTTATATCTGGTTATGAATATAGTTAGGTCATTGAGGACCTTGCTCTTTCCTTTAGAGGGTGGGAGGGGGAAACCTGAAATCCTGACCTGTGTCCAGATCAGTACAAGTCTACATTTCAGGTCATTTATAGACTTGGTAAGTCTGGTGTACTATTGCTTATAGTAATAAGTAGTTGCCTTCAGTAAAAATGGATAGCTTGTGCTATGATATCTGGGTAGATGAAAAATTACAAAACTAGCGCTATCAAATTGCTATTAATGAGTCACGAAGAACTTCCTTAGGTTGCTTTTCCTGTCTGTTGTTGTATAGGAGTGGCTGTAAAGACAGTGATTTGGCTCCTGATGACCTGAGAACAATACGGTCATCCCTATATGGACTGATCAAGTATTTCCTGAGCAAAGGTGGAACACATGAAGAAATACAGAGCATCATAGGATACATAGCTGCCACCAGTGAAGAGGAGCAGGTATCCAATATGGCATAAATTAATAGTTTAAACTGTACATGTTTTGGTTTTGCTTCTTGATGTTTAGAAATCTTGCGTGCTTAAAGGAGGGGAGAACAAAAAAGAAAAAGACCACAAGCAAAGTGTCACTTGATGTGTGGTTCTGTTTAGATGTAGCTGAGGCAGGTTATAGAAGCATACTGGAAACTTGACAAAGTGCTCTGCAGGTGGCTGTATTTTTACTGGTTTGTTTGTGGTGATCGTGTGTGTGTCCCCGTCCCAC